GGTTACTAATGAACGCAAGCAACATGAAAGTAAAACTGCTCATCTCATGCCCTGTGAACCTTTCTGGCAAGCTTTCTAAAGACCAGAAATGCTCCTCCTATTTATATCTGTATTTGGATCAGTTTAGAACACATCTGTTCAATCTCAATAATGTATTTCTGTTTGGTTACACCCTTCATGTCCATATTGCTCAGTGAGAACAGTAACAGCTGTACAGTGACCAGAGGTTCATTAGTTGTTGTTCTTTCGGCTGCTCCTGTTAGGGGTCACCACAGAGGACCAATTTCCATTGTCTGCATGTTGATTTGGCGCAGGTTTTACACCGGATGCCTTCTTAACGCAACCTTCGCCATTTATCTGCGTTGGGACCGGCACTGAGAGTGCAGTAGCCTGTGTACCCCCAGTGGCTGGGGTTAGTGCCCAGTTTGGGGCTCAAACCCATGATCCTGAGATTAAGGGTCTCATGCTCTACCAGCTGAGTTAACCTTGCACCCTAGCAGCAGGTTCCTTACTACCAGTACTGAAACAATGTAGTATCCTAGTACTTGGTACCTTGATACCTTTTCATTATCAATATTCTGTGCAAGTGACTGACTGACAAACATATAAGCCAAGATGAAAGCTATTAAATTGACTGCAATGGACTACAAGGCAGTAAATTTACAGGTCTAGTAGCTGTCTTCATGTGATAAGTGAGGATGCGGAAAATTGAGGATGGGAAATTAAGCTTTATTTATAAGCTAGACAGCTAGTCTAACTAGTTTGCTGTCTACATATTAAATTGATCATTCGCAGCATTTGGCTCTGGGTTAGGCCTGGCATGCTTAGTAGGATATTTAGCCAGGTTTTATACCCAATTTGCTTATGCAGACAAATTTTCAAAATAGGGAGTGAATCTCCAAATGGAAGCTGGATGGGAGCCTAGTGTGGTCACAAATGAGGGGGATAAACGAGTCTGGGCACAGATGATCCTGTGGTGTGGGAGGGTAAACAAATGTGGGCGCAGATGATGCGGTGATGTGTGATGGTAAATGAGTGTGGGCACAAATGATTTGTTGAAGGGGAAGGGTAAATCTGTCAATCATAAGCCTTCCAATCTCCAGTTACATTCCATAAGCCTTCTAGTCTCACTCCAGAATTATCAGAGGCCTCGATATATTTTCATATTTTCTGTTTTTACTGCTGAAAACCTTCACAAGTTTGTGTAGTGTGAGATGCTCAGCAATGTGATTGGACAAATGATGCAACATCAAGTGACACAGCTAGTAGCGAAAAAAAGAAAAGTGGCAAAGAGTGTAAACTCTTAACATGAACAGTGGAGAGCCGAGATAGAGGATAGACTTGTAGAACTTTCGCAAATGCACGAGGGTCTTTATAATATAAACCATAAATGCTAGTGAGATGGAGACTGTATGCCTCCGGTCTGTGCAAATAATAGTACTAACAAATCCAGCTGGATCCGCTAAGTACAGATCCGTCTGTCTCCTGAAGAAGACATAATGAAACCAATGTTCTGTTCATGGTGCCTTGTAAGTGGTAATTTGCAAGTTGTAATAACATCATTTCCCACCTTGGCACGTTTGATATGTGAAGTGGGGGATAAAAAAAAAAACAGGGAAGCAACATTTTGGACTGAAATTGCAGTACGGCAACAACAGCGGACAATAAGGAGTAGTTTTAGCAACAAGCTAGCCGTCTAAGGTTAGTGATTAGTATGATCACTGTATTAGATTTAACCAAGTACTGTGTCTGTGTATTAAATGATCTAAGTAGCCATGTTGATTTGATGTCTCTCCCTAATCAGGGAAGGAACTGGTAGTTGAGAAGACTACCCCAAATTGACGAGTTGAAATTTCAAACTGAGGGGGCATTTTCGGTGTCTTTCACCTGTTGTAGGTGAGGAAGTACAAGTTGCAACTTCGCCTCAAACCATGAGTACATCATGAAGACTCGTATAATGATCCCATGCAAAATGATTATAATCACTACTGATGTCCTTACTTAACAAAAACTTAACAGAAATGCCCAGAAATCTTTTCTGTCTGAATAGTACATAAGTTAAAAATTTATTTAATGACATTTATTTTTCCTGTCTTCCATAATTTTCAGCTCAGTATTACATTACTGTCATATTTCTTTCAGAAATGGCATATCTAATTTTAATTTGAAGTCTAACATTGTGATTATACTGTACACCTGATAAAACTTTTGCAATTTAACATCTTGCCTAGCAAGAAACTTAACAGACTGTACTTATTATCTTACCCCACTTTTTAAATTACCTAAACACACACACACACACACACACACACACACACACACACACACACACACACACACACACACACACACATATGATCTTGCCCAGACTCTTTCCAAGTGTATCAGTAGCAGACATTATAAGTGATGAGTGGATTACAGGACTGAAGGCTATTTTTAACAAAGATAGGCTGTGTTTTAATCTATCTGTCTTTATAAACCTGTTAATGCTCCCTTCAGCTTTAGCCCTCTCTCTCTCTCACACTGTGTGTGTGTGTGTGTGTGTGTGTGACCGGAAAAGTGAACCAAAAATGAAACAAATCCCTGAGAGGAGTGGACAAATCATAAAGTCACTAGCTAAACCACTAGGCACATGAAAGCGCTGTGTTGAACTAAAATTAGCATTATTCTAGTCTAATGTAGATGTGTTCCTACCTTAATTGTTCAGTTTTTCCACATACTAAAAACCATATGGAGACTGTTCTGGAGTTTTATTTTAAGCAATTTTTCAATTATAAGTTTCTTTTTTGCATTTCCTTCTGCAAGGCACTGGTTTCAATGTTATTGGCACCTGTACAGTTATTTTTTAGTGAAGCCAGATGTAATGATTAACAAGGATGGCAGACACTTGCAGAAGGATCTTGGACAACTTCTCTTCGCATAGCCTATGCATCATATTGTTGAAAAATTGAGGCATGGCCAATTCTTAAACTCCTGGCACAGACGGCCAGTTTCTGAGCGGGTATTAGCGGAATTGATGATGCCATCAATCCTCAGAAAAAGCTTGAATGATGCAAAATCATATTTAACAATATTTATCAAGTACACGCCCTTGTACATAGTCCCTTTTTTGTCGAACATGCCAATGTCGGCACACTCCAATATGTGGGCTGCTCTTTTATTCAAGGGGAAACAGGAAATGGTCAAAGGCAACAATAGTTTCTGGAGATTGACAGCAAAACTGCTTTAACCCCTTCACACACACACACACACACACACACACACACACACGTTCGCCCCTAGGGGGAATTTAGAGTATCCGATTCACCTGTCGCCACGGGAGGTGTGAGTAAAACCATGTGACACAGGGAGAACATGTGAAACACCACACAATTAGTAACCAGAGCTCAGGATAGAACCCCAGACCCTGAAGCTCTGGGACATAAACACTACATGCAGCACCACCATGCCACCCTGAAAAATATTATTATTTAACAAACAGGTTCATATTAGAATGATTTTTAATGGCTAGGTAAGTACAATACCAGTCAAAAGTTTGGACACACAATACATTTTATTTCTGAATCAGAATGTTTTTATTAATAATCAGTTTCCAATAGTGTGTGTTTCAATAGTAGTGCCAATAATTCTGGAACTGGCTGTGAATATGGCAAAGGATATATGGATAAATATATATAAATGAATAGAGAGAAGAGAAAGAGCATGCAGGGAGCAAGTAAGACAGATGGATATATAGTGAAGTAAAAGTAAAGCAGTAAAAGTACTTAGCAGAACATTGTATGTCAGAACAAAGAGGAAATATTTTTCCAAAACCCACTTAAGGGCAGCAGTTGAGTATTTCTGCTACGTTACATTGAGGTGCAGCTCATCTCGGCACACAATGATCCTTACGCATAACCCACTTTTGTTGAGTGTTGTGGTTCAGCTGAGGATTGTGTTACTGCAGCGTAACTGCTGTGTGTGAACACACCACCATGCCAAACCTCTGAGCTACAGTGTGTGTGTGTATGTGTGCGTGTGGTTATCAATAACCATGTGTAGGCTTCTCAGTATGAGTCAACACTACTTTCCCAGCGTCGGAGTAATGGAACTTAACCAAGCACACACACAGGGTAGTGTGGTGGTTTAGTGTATACCGATTTATAGTGTCTTTTGGGCTTGGTTGTTCATTTGTGGTGTTTCAAGGCAGAGAGTGGGAGTTGTGTGTGGTTGGTTCCCTTGTGTAGGCTCTTTTAGTACAATTAGGATCTATACACACACACACACACACACACACACACTTGCAGTCACCCGTGGATGGCATTATAAATTGTGCAGTAGTGTTTTTTTTAATACTGGTACCCATTAAAAATTAATTACCCCCTGTAACTTTTTAGTTAAACTTGAAATGAACTGCTTTGTCATCCTTGCTGAAAATTAACATAAAACATAAATATCATCAGTATTTCTGCCTCCATAGCATATCTCTGGTTCAACTACAGGAGCAGACAATGTACTCAAGTACTAAGACACGACACAATAGGCAAATAAGTCAAGCTATGTTGTCACTTCCTGATGATGCTCCCCCACTCACATTCTGCTTAGAGAGAGACCCCCAGGTGTGCATGGGACTATATATTTAATCCCAGTCCTGCCTGCTCCCATCCCACCTGCTCCAGGAAACACTCCTGACCAATCCTTTCTGCTCCCACAGACAATCTTGACCAATCCTGCCCGCTCCAGCAGAAAAATTTAACCAATCCCACCCATTCCCATGGACACACTTGACCTATCCTATCTGCTCTCACAGAAAGTTTGACCGATCCCACCCAATCCCACACACAATCTTGAACAATCTCGCTTACACGTGCAGACACTCTTTACCAATGATGCCCACTCTTTACCAGTGTGATGCCCACACTCACAGAAAGTTTGACAATTCCCACCCCCTTCCACATAGACTCTTGACTAATCCCACCAATTCGCATACAAAATTTGACTAATCCCACCCACTTAAACAGACTCTCTTGACCAACTGCTCGCCCGTAAAGTTTGACCAATCCTGTCTGCTTCCTCAAAAAGTTTCAAAAAGACCAATCCCACTGGCTCCTGCAGAAAGTTTGACCAATCCCACCTGGTCCTGCAGACACTCTTGACCAATTCTTTCTGCTCACACATAAAAATTTGACCAGTTGCACCCACTCCCTCAGACACTCTTGACCAATTGTGTCTGCTCATGTGGAAATTTTGACCAATCCTGTCTGCTCCCTCAGAAAGTTTGACCAATCCCACCCACTCCCACTTTTCACTCTTGATCCCATTGGCTCCAGCAGAAAGTTTGACCAATCCTGTTTGCTCCCACTGAAAGTCTGACTAATCCCATCGGCCCCTGCAGAAAGTTTAACTAATCCCGCCTGCTCCTGCAGACACCCTTGACCAATCCCATCTGCTTCTGCAGAATGTGTGACTAATCTTGGCCACTCCCAAAGAAAGTTTGACCAATCCTGCCTT